GTAATCTTGGACGCAGGTCCTTGCCTTTCATGACTTTCAGTACTTCTCTCCAGCCCCTTCTTGCCTGCGAGTTTTCTGTTGAGAAATCGACTGATAGTCTTTGGAAACTCCTTTGTAGGTAACTGTCTCCTTTTCTCTTGCTGCTTTTAAGATTCTCTTCTTATCTTTAATCTTGGGTAGTAAAATTATGATGTGCCTTGGTGTGTGCTTCCTTGGGTCCAACTTCCTTAGGACTCTCTGAGCTTCCTGGACTTCCTGGAAGTCTATTCACTTTGCCAGATTGGGAAACTTCTTCTTCATTACGTTTTCAAATAAGTTTTCAACTTCTTGCTCTTCCTTTTCTCCTTCTGGCAGCCCTATGATTTGGATGTTGGAATGGTCCAAGTTGTCCCAGAGGGTCCTAAGCCTCTCCTCATTTTTCTGAATTCTTATTTTTTCATTCTGTTCTGGTTGACTGCTTATTTTTCCTTCTCTTTAAAATTTTTAAATTCTATGTATGTATGTATTTATTTATTTAAATTATTGTTCAAGTACAGTTTTCTGTCTTTTACTCCCATCCCAGCTCACCCCCAGCCCTCCCTACCTCCCTCCCATCTCCATCCCCCCCCCCCCCGTTTTTGTCCATGTGTTCTTTATACTTGTTCCTGCAAACCCTTCCCCTTTTCCCCTGAAATTCCCTCCCTTCTCCCTTCTGGTCACTGTCAGCCTGTCTCTATTTCAGTGTCTTTGGTTATATTTTGTTTGTTTGTTTTGTTGGTTAGGTTCCTGTTAAAAGTGAGATCATATGGTATTTGTCTTTTACCACCTGGCTTATTTCGCTTAGCATAATGCTTTCCAGTTCCATCCATGCTGTTGCAAGGGGTAGGAGCTCCTTCTTTCTTTCTGCTGTATAAAATTCCATTACAACAGGAATCTAATCAACAAGACAAACAAACAAGCAAAATATAACCAAAGACACTGAAATTGAGAATAGGCTGACAGTGACCAGAGGGGTGAGGGGAGGAAATTTCAGGGGAAGGGGGGAAGGGTTTGAAGGAAGTAGTATAGAGGACACATGGACAATAACAAGGGGGGGTGGAAATGGGAGGGAGGCGGGGAGGGCTGGGGAGGTGGGCTGGAATGGGGGGAAAGGGCAGAAAACTATACTTGAAAAACAATTAAAATAAATGTAATTTGGATCTAGAGGCTTGGTCAGATTCAAGTTCAACTCTTTAGCAAGACTACATAATAGTGGTGGTGTGTTCTTCAATAAAATGGCATGTCTGGTTGTTTTTTAATATATTTTATTTATTTATTTTTAGAGAGAGGGGAAGGGAAGGAGAAAGAGTGAGAGAGAAACATCAATGTGTGGTTGCTTCTCATGTGTCCCTTACTGGGGACCTGGCCTGCAACCCAGACATGTGCCCTGACTAGGAATCGAACCGGCGACCCTTTGCTTCACAGGCCCGTCTGTGCTCAATCCACCGAGCTACACCAGTCAGGGCGTCTTTTTTTTTTTCCCTGATGTTAACAGACAGGCATTGGTACTCAAAGCTAAGATCCATGAAGTCTTTATAAGTTGTAAAATTGTGAATATTTCATTGTATTATTCCTTTTTCATTCACTGTCAAAAATATTTTTATAAAGAGAAACTATTACAAAACACAGCATACACATGGGCGGGGGGGGGTCACGATACACTATTACTGAAAGGACCCCCTATCAGGTTCATTATGTCCACCGCCAGATAGGAAAGATGTCTCTCAATGCCAGAGATTTGTGAAAAGGAAAGGAAATGTTTATTTAATGCTATACAGACTTAAAATAGTGACCCAATGTCTTCATTAAGATATCAAAGTCCTTTTTGGATACCTAAAGACACCCACAGTGCTCCCTTCTCCCCCTGCCCTAATTCGGGGTACTGTATCTCAGGAAAAGAAGCAAACATCGGTGATTCAGGCTCCTGACACCTGTCAGCTGTGTCACCATCCAGGCAGGATCTCTAATTACTCCAAAGCCATGTGGCACCTTCTCATGGCCTACTGGCAAGAGTTCTTTCACCCTCTTCCAAGCAAAGTCTCTCCTGCTTCCCGGGTCATGTGACCAAAGGGAGCACCCCCCCCCCCAAAGCCACATGGTCCTGCCACCTGGTCCTACGAAAGCTGCAGGGGTCCCCATTCTGGCCAAAACCACATGGTTCTTCTTTCCACCAGAGCTGCGGGGGTCTGCACTCTGGCCAAAAGTGTGTGGCTCTCTCTCAATGGCTGCTGTGTCTGGGTTTAAATCCCCATGCCGATCTTCCTCTGTACCCCCATTTTTAACTCATCCTACAGTCACGTGCACCTGCCAGCATTCCTGTATGATTCCAAGTTTACTGGGCTGCCATCATGAGTCTGGGCATATATGGCCCATGTCATGGAGCCAATCTTGTCCAAGCTCTCACTCAGGTGCTGTCACCTGGGGTACTTGCCCCCAGTTAGATCTTGGGGGGAAGTCACTTCCATCACCCTGGCTCAGAGCATGGCTACAGCTATTTAACATATCTATGCAGTCAGTTAAAGGTTATAGGTATGTTAAATGACCATGCCAGAGGTTAGCTGTAAAGCTGAGGCTGTACAAAACAACTTTGCATGTTCCTGCTCCATGTGTCCCTTCCCCCAACTCACACCTGAGGGGTGATAGGGTAAGGACATCTTATATGTCTTTCTAATATTCCCTGGACACTCTGAGTTCTGGGCCCCATTCCAAATCCCTTTTTGGGCCTCGTCTCTTGGCTGCACCCTGTATCAAAACTTCCTCTCACCTGTTATTTTGTTCCCCAAACATCTCTATAAAAACGAAAGTATGAATGCTAGACTCTTTTCTTTGTTTGTAAGTGTTCAAAAGAATGAGCTGGCCCTGGTGGCTCAGTGGACTGCCAGCCTGCGAAGAAAGGGTCACTTGTTTGATTCCCAGTCAGGGCACAGGCCTGGGTAGTGGGCCAGGTCTTTAGTAGGGGGTGCATGAGAGGCAACCACACATTGATGTTTCTCTTCCTGTCTTTCTCCCTCCCTTCTTCTCTCTAAAAGTAAATAAAATCTTTAAAAAAAAAAAAAAGGAATGAGCTGGCTCAATATTAATACTCCAATGATAACCAAGTAGTTTGTTTTAAATTTCTATACCCCACCCATCCCTCCTTTGGCAACCATTAGCTTGTTCTCTATATGTATGGGTTTGTTTCTATTTTGTTTCATTTATTTTTTAGATTCCACATATGAGTGAAGTCATATGTTTTTTCTTTGACTTATTCCACTTAACACAGTACATTCTAGGTCCATAACACACTCTCATCACAAATGGCAAGATTTAATTCTTTCTGTTGGTGAATAATATTCCATTGCACATATATACACCTGCTTTATCCATTCACCTATTGATAGACAGCTGGGTTGCTTCCATATCTTAGCCATTAATAGCAATGCTGTAATGAACATAGGTGTGCATGTCTCTTTTGAATTAGTGTTTTTGTTTTCTTCAGATAAATACCCAGAGGTGGAATTGCTGGGCTGTATGACAGGTGTATTTTTCATTTTTAAATATGTTTATATTTAAATATAAGCTCAAAGATTTAAACATTTTGACATTTTTCAATAATTGCAGTTATTATGCATAATGATTCTCAGATTGTCCTATATGGCCAGCTGGAACCTCTGTAAGTTGCTTCTGACTTCTTTTGACAGAATTTGGGTAGTCTTTTGATAGCATCCTTGCTATCTGGTAAGAAAAGGCATTCTAGATTCATTCTGTGTTTTTTGTTTTTTGCTGCTGCCCTAGAATTCGCCAATTTTCTAATGTTCCCTGTTCCTTTTAATAGGAAATTATGCTCATGACTAGTGAGCTAATCATGTTTCCCTGGCTTTTTCAGTGGATAGTTAGAAACATTTTCTTAAGATAGAAATACACTGTAAGTTCACACTGATACTTCTAATTCAAATTAAGGACTAAAGTATTTTCTTCTAACCTCTTTGGTAATACATTCATATCTTATATCTCTCATGCTGAGACACTGAGCTCAGTGCCACCAACAATAACAGAATGTGACAAAAACCTTTGCTTTCTTTCATAGCTAACAATCTCAAAACAATGGTGGAGAAAATAAAAATTTGTTATGACTCTGAAGTGGCAAGAAAGCCAGTGATTCCACCAGCATCCTGCTCCAAAGTTCCTGTCAGGCAAGGGTCCTGTTAAGGGGACGCAGGTGCCACGTGGACTTTCAGTTTTTCTTCTCTTGCCCACCTGTGGTTCTGGTTCAGGAACTTACAGTAGGGAACACACCTAAGAGCTTTCTGGTGCTCTCTGCATTAGGCAGTATCCTGGCCCTGTGCTCCTGGGAGCGGGAGAAGGCACAGGAAAAGCCAAGCTGGCCCAGGCACTGCCCTCCAGAACAGCAGGCATTCATGACCTTGACTGTACTGGCCCTTGTGCATACTGAGACTCAGCATAGAGGGAACCTCCCAGATGCAGGGAGGTTCTTTAGGTCATGAGAACATCACCCACCCACAAGCCTTGGGGACCATGTGGCCTGACCCTTGGGCAGGGGCCAGGACCATCCAGTCACTGCCCCACAGCACACAGCCTTTAAGTACTCTAGGTGTGTGAGCTAGTCTTCTGTGCAATAACTGATGAACCCTGACAAGACTTCTGGAGGAATGAGAATAACATTAGCAGCCAGTTTTGTCCCTGGTTTTAAAGGGCACTGTAAGCTTGAAATACGAAGTTGATAAAGGACAATTTTTCGTGATCTTTAAGTATTGGTTTTTGTTATTGTTTTTAAATTAGAAGTGAGGACTGTACCATATCATAAAATGTTTTGTACCAAAACAAAGCTTAGAGCAACCTGTTTTAAAATAACAAAAAATAGGCAAAAAGAAACAAAACTATTATTTGAAGATGGTATAATTTTTTCAACAGTATAATTTTCAACCACAAATTACAATAAACTGAAATTATTGAAAATTAAGAACATTCAATGAGGTGGCTAGTTTCACAAATACATAATTAAAATAACTTTCCTATATAATAGCAATAATTATAAAAATATAATAAAAACTATTTACAATAAAAAATGAGAAGAATTTACTCAGGAATTAATAAATGAAAAGATATAGTTCTGAATGGGAGACAAAATTTATAAAGTTAACAAGTTTTTATTCAAATAGTTTAGAGGGCCAACTTATTCCAATCAAAATACCAATGTAAAAACTTGGGAAACCTAGAAAGTATAAAACTGATCAACAATCCTTAAACTCACATACCACAGAATTGGTCCCAGGAAGATACCACTGACCTTGACTCTGGGAGAGTCAAGGTCAAAGAAAGACAGGTCAGGAAAGTCTAGATTATCAGGAGGCCAAAGAGAACAAATATCTACTACAATGAAGACACTGGGATCCTGTTTCTTGAGGGGCTATGTGAGCTAGTCACTGGAAACAATTTCTAAAAATAAAACTTTGCTTGTGAGGTAGCGACCACCTATTGCCAAAGGTCTAAAAACTGCGCTTAGAGAGGAATTAAGCTTATGGTCAAGATATTGAGCAACTCTGGTTCCAAGCCAATGTGCTCTTCCTCCTTTTGTGGCTCTTGGAGTTTTCTTCCTAGTAAGTCTTGGCTCAGCAGAGGGACAAGATTCTCAAGAGCTTTTTCAGTAGTGGGGTTGGGTGGCTGGACCTGAGCAATCTAAACTTCTTTTGTGGCAAGGGAAAGGCATCAGAGAGCTGTTTAAGCAATTACTAGCTGAACAAGGCATAGTAAGAATGTAGACATTTTAAAATTATGTTGTGAAAAGGATTTTTGTAAGTCACTTTTCACAAGTTGCAAATGTTACTGAAATTGATAGTTTAGATTATAAATGACAGAGTAAGCCTTTGATATTCAATTAGTATATTTTCCTATATTCCAAAGCAAACAATCCCTTTCAAAACTCAAGCTTTTAACAGGGTATTCTTAAGAGGGTTAACACATTAATAGAAGCTATTGGTTTAACAAATCAGTAGTCTGGGTCTTCCAGGAACATACCAGTCCAGAAAAACACTTTCCACTATTCATCTTTTCTCAAGCGTGAATCCCTATGTGGTGGGAAAAGGATCTGTGACCTGTATGTACATTGCTGTATAAGTTCACAAAGGCAAGCTCCTTAGTCCAAAAAGCCTGGATGCTAACTGAGGTATAGACTTTGAGGATATTTTCTTCCCTGTGAATTTCCTAAAAATCTGAGGCTTCAGGCAAGATGCATATTTATCCAATTTGGGCTATTATGAAGTTTTCACATATCTGTTTTTTTTTCAGACAGCCCAAAAATTCAGAATTCCTTATGAACCATTTCAAGTTGAGACAGGACCACATGACCTTTCCCGATCCTACTTCTGCTTTTGCGTCTTACATGCTGAGTGGGTTTTTTCATGGCGAGTGCAGTTTGACAGCCGACCAAATCTTCTCCCACATTTTTTGCAACTGTATGGCCTCTCAGCCACGTGACTTTGCAGATGAAGCACAAATTCTTTGTTCTCTGGGAAGGTTTTCCCACATTCCGGACACTTAAATACATTATTCCTTATATGGATTCCTTCATGGCGACTACGATGAGAATTTTGACGAAAATTTTTCCCACACTTTGAACAGGAATAAGGTTTCTCTCCTGTATGGATACGCTCATGTTTATTAAGGTTGGTTTTATGATTGAAGCTTTTCCCACAGTGACTACAGTCATAGGGTTTTTCTCCAGTGTGAGTCCTCTGGTGGGAAATAAGGTAAGAACTCTCATTAAACTGTTTCCCACACAGTGGACAAGTGTACCATCTTCTTGTTCTCCGATTTCGGGTAAGTTCAATAATATTGATATCCACAAATTTTGAGAGCTCCTCTAGTGGAGTATCATTTTCAATGGTAACTAAAAGATTTCTCATTTTCCTTTCAGCTGGAATAGATGTATTTAGTCTTTTTTCTTTATGGCAATCTGGAGGTTGCTCAGAGACCATGGAATAATCAATTTCATCACAATCTGAAGACTTTTCTCTATGATCTTCATTCTCAGGATTATCGTCATCATTAACTGTTGGGGGGAAAAAAGAACTTAGTAACTTTTGAGGGATATGACACCAGGAGGGGAAAAGAAAATGAGTCTGATTTCTCATGAAATAACCTTGAAAATCACAAATCTGGAAACTGGCAGATAATCTCACCACCAACACTCCCTTTCTACTCTTACTGACTGACTAATAAATCTTTCTATACCCCCAATGCAAGCACATGAAAAAAATGGAACAACTGAGGCCATACTGAAAGACTTCGTATGTTTGTTTATTCATTAAGTTCACATTGAGCTTATATTCTGTGTGGAGCACTGAGCTAAGTACCAGGGGATGAAGGACATAAACACAAAACCGTAACACTCATAATCTTTAGACTAGTTAGTGAATGGTAAGATGAGTTACTTCTAGGTTCTCACTACATTAAATATTGCAATATTGTAATATTACACAATATCCTATACATAGTGAAAAACTACAAACAATTAAAAAGCCCTAAAATAGAAAAGCTGTAACATATTCACACAGATGATTATTCGGGCATTGAAGTGAACACTATGACCAATGTAACAAAACTATGGTCAAAGTCATTAGCAGTCTTTTGAGGGTCGGAAGGGAAGTAGTAACTGGGCAGGGGCCACAAGAGGAATTTCTGTGGTGCTAGGAACAGTTAATTTTGGGTGGTAGTCTGACAAATGTGTACATTTTGTGAAAATCTGAGTTTTACACTTATAATTTGTACATTTTTCTGTATTTATATTATACATCATCCCAAAATGTATAAGATGATAAAGACTAGGTGACAACGTGGGGAAAAAAGTATGTTGTAAACAGGCAGGACCCCTAAACTTTGGGCAACTTACTAAAAATAAAGGGTTGTATCAGCCACTTAGGTATGTGGCTCATCCTGAGGCTGGAATGTGAATCTCTGCTGAATTTAGCAGTTTCCCACTAACACAATTTTTCTATTTATTTTAAAATTATTCTCTTAGGAAAATGAAAATGCTGGGTCAAAGCTTATGCCAATTTTCATCACAACTTTTTAAAATAAGATTTTATTTATTTATCTTTAGAGGGGAAAGGAAGGAGAGAGGGAGAGAAATACAATGCATGGTTGCCTCTCATGCATCCCCTGCTGGGGACTGGCCTGTAACCCAGGCATGTGCCCTGACTGGGAATCGAACCGCCATCTTTTGGTTTGCAGGCCCGTGCTCAGTCCACTGAGCTACACCAGCCGGGGCGATCACAACTCTTAATATGAATTGCCATAATGCTTTCCAAAGAAGCTATACCCATTTCAATACAACCATCTACATGGGGGTAATTCTTGCCAGCATTAAATATCATGTAAAAATATTTAATAGGAATAAAATGGCTTTTCACTGTAGTTCTATTTTGCACTTTACTGCAAACTATTGGACTGAAACTTTTATAAATTTAAAGAAATTTTATATATTACAAATTCTAAATCTTTGTCAATCATTACTCATTAAATATTTTTTAAAAGATTTATTTATTTACTTACTTACTTATTTACTTTTAGAGAGTGGAAAAAAGGGAGAAAGAGGGAGAGAAACATCAATATGTGGTTGCCTCCCACATGCCCTCTACTGGGGACCTGGCCCGCAACTCAGGCCTGTGATCTGACTGGGAATCAAACTAGTGACCCCTTGGTTCACAGGCCCATATTCAATCCACTGAGCTACACCAGCAAGGGCTTGTGAAATATTTTTTAATTGAAGTCTTCTTCTATAATTAAGCTCCACGACTTAAAACGAGAAAAAAAACCCCACTTTTTCAAAACCTGATCAACTTCTATTGTGTTTTCTGGCCATTTTTAATGATTTCTTTTTATAGTTAATTCATACATTCAGAGGTTTTTTTAAAAAAAATCAATGAATAAAAAATGTGGCCCTGGCTGGTGTAGCTCAGTGAATTGAGCATGGGCCTGTGAAGCAAACGATCACCGGTTCGATTCCCAGTCAGGGCACATGCCTGGGTTGCAGGCCAGTTCCCAGTGGGAGACACATGAGAGGCAACCACACATTGATATTTCTCTCCCTCTCTCCTTCCTTTCCCCTCTCTCTGAAAATAAAGAAATAAAATATTAAAAAAAAATTTGTTTCTCTGCAATCACAAAAAACAAACACTACAGGAGCACGTAACAGAAAACACTGAGATATTGTTTCACTTTCAAACATGTTCTTGACTAGACAGAGAAAAGGGCATAGGGAGAGGTGTAGAATACACTGAACAGAGAAAGGAAAGGGGTTGTTTTCTCCAGAATAAATCTATAGGCAGGAGCTGGACTCACGCATGCTTGGGAGAAGCCAGTGTGCCAATGCTGGCCGTGCATGAGGAGTAGGGTGCTAGGGCCTCTGTCTGTCCTGCCCCACGTTACCTGCTTTTCAGGCTTGAGCCCACACGGGAGTTCTAGGTAGGGGCCAGGGCCAGCTGAGACAACTTGCCAGAGAGGAAGGGAGGTAATCGCTCCTTGTAGTCTGCTGTGGAAAACTAAAGAGGCTTGCTACATGTGCCCATCCTCTTGCCTCTGGCTGGCCCTGTCCATCCTGCCACCCTCCCTGCCCCCTGGCCAGAGGCCCACTGGCACCCAAGGGCAGTGTAGCAGCAGGGCTTCGAACTTTCCTGGGGAGTACAGGAGGTACTGCTTTACTTTTGTTCTTCCTAAGCCTCAGCTGACTGTGCACAGCTCAATGGAAGGGTGGGAGCCAGTTAGAGGGACAGAGAAGGTTGGGTCATGGAGGATATCATGGTGAGGGGTAGGAAAAGGATGAAGATGTGCACGCACATTTGGACAAGGTAGGGGTAGTTATAGGTTCTGGCAGTGCTGTAGACTCTTCAGTTTCTGTCTGCTGGTAGTGGCAGTACAGTCTGCAATCTGCTTCTATGACACAGTGTGGTAGATCTCTGTGAGGATGTTCTTCAAAGCCTTCTTTATGTTAATGGCGTCCAAGACTGAGGTCTCCATAAAGGACAAGTTATTCTCTGTGAAGGCACAAGCCTCATCAGAAGACACAGGCCACAGGTGGTGCAAGTTGCTCTTGTTGCCCACCAACGAGATGACATCTCTGTCAGCATGGTCCCACACCTCCTTCAGGCAGTGCTCCATGTTCTCCTGTCACGTGCTTGGTGATGTCATACACCAGCAGCACACCCAATGGGCCATGGCAGTAAGCAGAGGTGATGGCACAGCTGTGCCGATTTGGCAGTGTTCCAGATCTGCCCCTTAACCATCTTGCCATCCACCTACATGCTGTGGGTGGCAAACTCCATGCCAGTGGTGCTCTTGCTCTCCAGGCTGAGCTTCTTGTGGGTGAAATAGGACAGTAGGTTGCTCTTTTCCACACCTGAGTCCCAGATGAGCATTGTTTTGAATTGACAGTCATACTTGTTCCCAGTCCCCACTGCCTTGGCACTTCCGGCAAGATCTGTGACTCCACAGATCCACCACAGATACCCCCATTTGGAATTTAATATCACACTTTTGTTTGTAACATGTCTAATATTGGTAAAAGCAGCAATAACATCCACTTCTACCTTTTAAAAAATTTTGACTCTGACTCTAAATACAGTATAGACAAATTTGGAAGGCAGTTATCTTTACATGATTTTAGTTTTCCCATTTAGATTCATGTCTCTCCAATATTGAACAATCTTACATTTACCAATAAACATCTCTAGTTTATTCCTATTTTATACACACTCTGAATTGAGAGCTTTCATTGATTTTAGAATGCTATCCAATAGTCATATATTCATCTACTATCTACTTACTTTGAAACTATCAGATGTAATTTTTAGTTGATCCTTTCAGGTTTTCTAAGTGCAAATCAAAGTTTGTACTAAGTATAAAAAGGGTTCCCTCCCTTTCCAGTATTTTTTTTCCTTCTTTTTTGAAAAGGTTTTACTTATTTTTAGAGGGAGAAGAAAGGGAGAAAGGGAGAGAAACATGTATGGGAGAGAGAAACATCCATTGGTTGCCTCTTGTACACACCCCAATCAGGGACTGAACTGGTGACCTTGCATTTTGCAGTGTGACACCCAACTAAGTGAGCCACACCTGTGAGGGCTCCTGTTTTTTCTTAATTCTTTTTTCTTATCTTCTTGTTTTAGAAAACCTAGATAACGGTATTATCTAGGTTTTAGAAAGTTTCTTTATTTTGTTCTCAGTTTTAAGGTATTACCATCAGTGTTTTATGAATGATTATAAGTATTTGGTTATATATAAAGAGCTAAATATGTTTTGAAGGCAATTTATTGATATTTATATGACTTTTCTTTAATGTATTAACATTTACATTGCTCAAAAATCAAAACATATGAAAAGGTACACAATGAGAAGTACTAATCTAATCCCTGTGCCTGTCCATTCTACTCATCCCCAAGACAGGTATCAGTTTTTATCAGTTTCTTAGTATTCCATTGTTTCTTTAGGCAACACATTTTTTTCTACTTTTCTTATATAAGAGGTAGTATATTATGTATATTTCTGCTTGTTTTATCTCAATCACTATATGCCAGTGCATAGAGATTATCCTGGTATGATGTGTAGACATACCATATTCAAACCTACAGAGATACCTGAATTGTTTTCAGTCCTGTGTTTTCATAAGCAGTACCACAATGAATAACTGTTTGTACATTATTTTGAGTGTGTGCTGTTCCAATTGCCTGTAGGTCAGATTCCCAGAAGTAGGAATGCTGAATCAAAGGGCTAATGCCTCTGTAATATGAGTAATTACAGATCCCCATACATGGGGACTGTACTATTCTGCATGTCTACTAGCAATACAGGCATCTCCCAATAACCTCACTATCAAGGTGTTGTTATGGTACTGATTTATATACATATGATTTTAAAAAATGGTAACTCAGCCCTGGCTGGTGTGGTTTAATGGACTGAGTGCCAGACTGCAAACCAAAGGGTTACTAGTTTGACTCCCAGTGAGGATGCGCAGGCCTGGGTTGTAGGCCAGGTCCCCAGTAGAGAGCATGAGAGACAACCACACACTGATGTTTCTCTCCCTCTCCTTCTCCCTCTAAAAATAACTAAATAAAATCTTTAAAAAAAATGGTAATTCAGTAGAGGTTAATTTGAATTTCTAATTATGATTAGGGCTACACATACTTTCATGTTATTAAGAGTAATTTGTATTTCTAAGTAAATCTTTTGGGCTTTCTTTTCTTTACTTCTAGAAGTTCTTTATGAATTAGAATTAGGAAGAGTAGGCTTTTGTCTATTAAAAGGTATAAATATCCCAATGTTATTATTTTAACATAATTATTTATTTATAATAATGTTAAATATGTTATGTTAATGTTATTACTTTAACATATTTATTTACTTATGTATTTAATTTATTAATCTTTTCTTTCAACACTTCTGAATTTTTGAGCCTTAACTAGAAAAGCCTTCCTATCCCATGGTTATAAAAGGAACTCATCCATGTCTTCTAATTATGCTTTTAAGGTTTTCTTTTAAACACTTAATATCTGCTATCCATTTGGACTTTTTCTTGGTGTGCAAAGTAATATATGATTCACCAAACCGCTACTAAGTTGTGCCACGACCTTTTATCAAAAAATCCCTCTTGCCCTGGCTGGTGTAGCTCAGTGGATTGAGTGCAGGCCGGTGAACCACACGATCGAGGTTCGATTCCCAGTCAGGGCACATGCCTAGGCTGCAAGCCAGTCCCCAGCAGAGGACTCATGAGAGGCAACCATACACTGATATTTCTCTCCTTCTCTCCTTCCCTTCCCCAAGATAAATAAATAAAATCTTAAAAAAAAAAAAGTCCCTCTTTACCTCGTTGTCTGAAGATTTTGCCTTTACTACAAACTATACCCCCAGTGTATTTGAGGATATAGCCGAACCCTTTATTCCACTCCACTCGTCTCTCTAGTCAAATGTCAATACTACACTATTTTTATTACACAGGATTTAAATTTAGAGGCTGCTTTAACACCTGACAGGGCCAGAACCCTTCCTATCCCACTCTTCTTCTTTTCAACTTTCCTGGTTACTTGACTTATTTTTCCATTTCAATTTAGTATCAGATTGTCTGATTCCAGGGGGCAAATCCTATTGGTATTGTTGAAAATATTACATTGAATTCATGAATCAACTTGGGGAGAACTGACCCTTTTTTTTAAAAGATTTTATTTATTTAAGAGAGAGGGAAAGGGAGGGAGAAAGAGAGGGAGAGAAACATCAGTGTGTGGTTGCCTCTTGAGTGCCCCGCACTTGGGACCTGGCCTGCAACCCAGGCATGTACCCTGACTGGGAATCAAACTGGTGACCCTTTGGTTCCCAGTCTGCGCTCAGTCTACTGAGCTACGCCAACCAGAGCCTGACCTTGTTATTTTAAATCTCCCTAGCCAAGAACATGGTGTTTCTTTTCATTCATTTAAGTCTACTTCTGTGTTCTTCAGAAGTGTTTTAAGGTTTTTCTCATAATTTTTGCACATTTCTAAAGTTTATTTCTAGGTGTTTAATCTTTTTTGTTCTGATATATTCTAAATGATTGTTTGCATATATGAAAGCTAATGATTTCCATATACTGTAAAAGGTGAAAGATCTATACAATCTGAAGAGAAACTAGAGTACACATATACTGTACTATTTAACATCCCATTGCCATACTAAATGCTTATTATTTGTTGTAAGTTTTCAGATATTCTCTATGTTTTTCCAGCTATACAATTACATCACATGCAAGTAGATACACTTTTTCCTTTCTCTTAAATTCTTATTCTTATCTAATTTCTTTTTCATTTAACTGTACTGGTTAATACCCAAAATACAATATTAAATACTGAAGTTATGATAGTGGGCTTTATTGTTTTATCTCCTCATTTTACTGGGAATACCTCACAGTATTTCCCATGAAGATGATGCTGACAGCCTTGGCTTGGCTGGTTGGGTATTGTCCTGCAAACTGAAACGTTGTGTATTCAATTCCCAGTCACAGCGCATGCAAGAGGCAACTAACTGATGTTTCTCTCTCACATTGATGTTTTTCTCCCTCTTTCCCCTCTCTCTGGAACCAACAAAAGAAAAAAAAAAAAAAGATGATGCTGACTGAATATATAAGTACCCCAGTAAGGAAATATTCTCTAATTACTATTTTGTTAAGTGTTCTTATGAAGAAGGGGTTTGTATTTTGTCAAATACCTTTTCAGTAACTATGAAAATGATCTTAGATATTAATTTTTATTAAACAATAGATTTTATTAACAGACTTTTTAGCATTAGGTCAATTTTGCATTTCTGGAATAAATCTTCTTTGGTCACATTTTTATCAGGTTGTGTATCTTTGTAACACTAAATTCATTAAATAATTTGGAAGTTCTTTATTTCTGTACTCTGAAATTCTTCATAGCATTTCAATTGTCTAATTTTTAAGGATTTACAAGAATTTTCTGTGACGCTGAGGCTGGTCCTTTTTCTTGAATGGGGAGCTAGTTTTTGAATCTTTCAATTTGCTCGGTAGAAATTGATTTGTTTTAAAATCTATTTATTAGTTCCTCTTTTAACTTATTATCTTTTCTAATTTATTACTTTCTTTTCCTTTATCTTGTTTTCCTAACTTCAAGTTAGAGGCTTAATTAATTTCATTTTTCTATGTTAATATACATGTTTTACAGCTATAAACTGTCTTTGAGTATTACTTTAGGTTATAACATAGATTGTGATACACAGTGTTTCTGGAAAAATTGTGTAATTTTAATTGTATTTCCCCTTTGACTCAAAGTTACTTGTTTTTAAAATTTCCAGTTAGGACCCCCCCCCCCGATTTTATTATTAACTTTCAGTTGTACTAGATAGATTCTATTCTGTTATTTCTATTCTTTGGAATCCACTGAGTCTTTCTTTGTTGCAAGGCATATAGTTGATGTGCATCAATCTTGTAAAGATATATTCTCTTACCACAGTAGAGGTAGATAAAACCGTAAGAACCATCTTATTGAAAATTTAAGTGTTCTACATTTCCACGTTACTCACTTGAGCGGAGACACACATTCTGTCCTCCTCTAACAAGAGCTTTTTTGATCTGTCTCCACGAAGTTCAGTCTCTTACATTTTTTCCCTTTGCAAACCGACCAAGAATTACTATTTCAACATCAGCCGTATACTGATGACTCCCAAATCTTTATGTCCTTACACCTGACTTCCAATCCTCAATGTCCAAGTACACAGAGGATAATCTCATTTTACTTCCTACTACTGAAATAAAATCCAACTTCTTCTAAACTCTGTTCTTGGTCCAAATCCTGCCTCAGCCCCATCATATATCTTTATAACAGTTTCACACTGTTTATCTTTTTATGTGAATGACTTACAAAACAAACCATAAACACCTAGAGGGCAGTAATGGAGCAGTACATATCTTTTTAATCAACTCTAGAACCCAACTTTGCATGAGCAAAACAGGTGGAGTTTACTAAATATTGGTGAATGACTCTTAGTGCTTTTAAAAATTGTTCATACTTTGCTATTTATTGTTTGACTCTAACTCATTAGTTTCAGGATATGAGTGAGGAAAGGGAGGGTGAGCTTTGTGTCTCCAGGTCTCAAGGTTCATGGTCAAAGTGCTGCTGGTGTTGGCAACATACCCACCAACCAGTCACCCAAAATGAATGTTAGCTTTGCCCAACACTCAGGCAAAACTTGTGTAGTAAATCTTATTTCTTTATATTTTTCCCTAAAATAAAGAAAATATAACAGGACAACTGTGGGAAATTAACCTGGCCCATTAAGTAGTACTACCCTGATCATCATACTGTGTAAGAAAACTGAAGAGTTCAATAGTTATTATAGATTTTTGTCACCCCAGGCCATTCACAAAGCCCACTTTCTCCTCAAAGCCTGCCCCAGAAGCAAACAGCCTTGAAATCAAGGTAAAAAGTATTAGGCACTCATCAAAACAATTTCTGAAGGCTCCTGACTGTACAGTAACAGTGTACTTCTGGAGAAAAGCTGAAGCATCTCCAAGATTAAGCTGCTGCCAGATGAGTTCATATGTAGCACTGAAGATACTTGTTAACCATAGTAGGAAATAAGCACAAATGAAGACTCCTCCCTTCACCAACCATATAGAAAATTCATTGACAAAATTATAACAAATTCAGCAAGGAGGCAGGAAAACTCTAAGCCCAGACTACAAGATGTGATGTAAGATTCCCAGAGTCCAAATCCCTGCTCCACTACCTACTGCTGTGTGACCTTTAGAAAATACCTTAACTTTTCTCTGCCACAGTTTCATCATCTGTAAAATAGTAACAACTCTTATACCCCAAAGTACAATTATGAGAATTATGAGATTATAAATGCATGCAAAGTACTTAGATTTAGTGTTTGGCACATAAAGACATAAAAGTGCTTAATAAGTACTAGACGTTATGTCCATCAATAGTTGGATATATTTTCATTTATACTAGCAGGCTTCATGGCTATTGAACATCAAGGGGAGAGAAAGACTTAAAGTTTGTCATGTGTCCAATAAAAACATTAATTTAAAATATACCTAATGAGAAAATAGTACTGGACCCAGAAAATGGATTCAGAAATAGTCTGCCTGCATTTTCTATCTGTCTGAATGTTTGATATTAGGCTATAGTTCTTGCATACCAAGAGAAATTCCCTCTGCCCTTGCTGCCCCCAAGATTCAGGGAAAATGGTCATCCACAGGTGGAGCAGACTCTGCTACATAGGATAAAATAAAAATTAAACGTGTATGTAAACATCTGCTTAGCTGTGAATAGTGTCTCAAGTCTGAGATGAAGTAGTAAAATATGCTTTTCCCATAACATTCAATCTGAACACACAAGAGACTTAATTTCTTACCCATTAACATCATCTCCCCAACATTGTCTTCTTCCTTCTCTGAGGTGGGCTGTTGAGTAGGACCCAGGCTCACACATTCTTCTTGGGAGTAAAATATATTCAAATCCTCAAAGACCATCAGCTCCTGAAAGATCAATAGGCCCCTCTTCCTCTTAGTAACAAAACTTCTTTGACACCCTGTTGATAAGACTGAGACCCAAAGATAAAGGAAGGAATGGTAAAAGGAATCTGTAAATCCCACACAGATGCAGCCAGACAGGAAAGCCAGGCTCACAGAAAAGCCAGGCTCAGAGGAAAAGCAGAAGAAAAACATCTAATAAGGCAGTGAAACACAAGCCCCACTCTTTCCCGACTCCCAAGAGTATGATTTTATGCAAAGATTGGCTAAACAGGGAGGGACAACAAGAACACAGAAGGTGATGCACTCAGTGAATGGGAAAATCAAACCCCACCTTAGGCTCAGATTTCAAACACAGAGATACTGTCTCCTGTTTCTGCCGGATTCCTTCTCTGGTCAGCAGCTTCACTAAGGGAAGAGGTTGCACTGGGGAAAGAGGAAGCTGTAGTTACTGGAAAAGTCAGTGACTCTAATATGGAGACTCTACCCATACCCTGAAGCCCAGTTGCCCTCATGCCTTCAGCAGGCACCTCATGGCTTTTTCTGCTCCTGTGAGCCCAGTTAGAGATCAAGCCATAAACCACAATATCTTGAATCTATATAAGGTCTTCTCACTATGAAAAAAATGTTTCCTTAAGTACCTTTGAAAATTCCCATAACTATTAAAGGGGAGGTGGGGGGAGGTAAAAATCTGAGGATCCCCACAGCAAGTACAAAATTTTCAAAATGCCACATAAACTGAAATCACTTCAATAATTCACCCACATATTATTTATCCTAAAATGATATCCCCTACCCCCCAGCATGTCTCTGGAAAATTGACACTAAAGACACACACTCTTTATTCTAAGGCCTTACTCATACTCAGCAAACTACTCAAGCTCCAGCTTGAAAAAAAAGTACTCCCTCTTCCCAACATGTTTACTTACTAGAATCAACTTTTCTCAAAACCCAACATTCTAACTGGAATTTGTTACTAGCACAGAACTCTATCTCAGCCCCAGTACCAGCCTCTACTAGTGAAACAGAAACGCGTTCTTACCTCGGTTCTGAAAGTCTGAGCTCACATCCTTCATAATAACCAAGGTCTCTTTGATTTTCTGACTGGGCTGGGCTAGTCCTGGCTTGGGCAAAAAGGTGAGGAAGTGCTCCAGAACCAGCTGGTGGATGGTCTTGGGCCCATTACTAGCATCTCGAAGTAGGTCTTGGCCTAGCTTGGAGTTTGGAGGAACTCTCAGTATAAAAGACTGCTTTGGCTTTGGGGGCATAGGGAACACTTTCGCCGCCATCGTGCCTTTAAATCACACACCACACTCGTATCTGCAGTTTCAAAAGCCACCTCTTACTGAAGGAAATCCGCCAGAAAGCTGCAGACAAGAGAATAATGCGTTACCCACAAAGTCAGGCAGGGCATGCCTACACTTCAAAATGTAGCTTGGATAGTTACACCACATGAGCTACAAGTCAGAAAGCAAAGATAAGCTGGGGTAGAGAACTCGTAACGGAAATGAATAATCTTAGCAAGGCCTGAAAGAAGATCTTGAGAATGAGAGCCAAAGGATGTCCAAACCGCAAGGACCACATGGAAGGGAGAAAAGGCAACCGGCAAAATATCAAGGGCCATTCGCCTAAGAAATATAAAGTGCAAACTCCACTGGGAAGAGCTGTAACTCATGGTGGTAGAGCAGTGGCTAAAAGACTCCAAGAAAATCTGGGGGCCAATACCAAGGGCATCAGTCAGCTTGGCCACTGAATCTGTCCCCTCGGGGAACAGCTGATGGATCAAAGAGCGAACTCAAGATCGTATTAAGTGTCCACACATGGCCCGCTTACTCCTTTACTCTGAGAAAACTGTGGTGAAAGCGGAAGGGGACAGCCTAGTAGGACCCACCGGTCCTGGCACTCAGAACCTCTCCCACCGGTCAAGGGCTGCCTTCAGCGCAAAGCCCAGACTGGGCGTTGCCTGGGGCTCGCTCCTAGCTCCCTATCCGGTCAGGCTCCTCGAACAACGGACCACGCTCCTCTCCCCAGAGACCGCCTCAAGCCTGGTTCCCGCCTTTACCGAGCACCTCACCTTCCTGAAGCTCTGCCACCCTCACCGTTTGCTGAGAACAACCCAGACACCCAAGGTCTAGGAGAGACCGGGAAACTAGGCGCGAGAGATCGAACCCTCCCTCGCCCTTGGGAGTGTCCTGACAGGCCGCCGAACACTATTGGTGGACCAAGCCGTCAGTTATGGAAGACGGCAGGGACGCGGTGTCTTCTGGGAGGCCCCACCCACACCGGCACCCGTGACGTCACACCCGGTGACTCGTTTCCGGTGCGATAACCGGGTCTCCCTGCTAGGAGCAGGCAGTGTGTAGTTGAAACAAGCCTTGAGGCCGACCAGCGGAACTCTCAGGACCAAAGGGAGGCGAGGCTGGAGGCAACCGCTCTCTCTTTGGTTCTACTTGGAAGACAGAAAGCAGAGGGCTGGCTCGAGTCAGCCACGACGGTCTGGCACCACTCCAGGTACGGGCTGACTCTAGGTCTTGCTGGGAATTGTAGTTCAGCTTCAACCAGCCAATGGGAGGGCGCCGGGCACAACCGTTGGTGCTGGGTCGAGTGGTAGCTTGACCGGAAGCGGGTTGTAAGTGGGGACCGGAAGGTTTGCGCGTGCCCGCCGCAGGTGCTGTTCCAGCATCCGGGGTGGGTCCAAGCATGCTGGTGGGTCCAGCATCCGGGGTGGGTCTCTTTACGGAGACTGGAAGTGGGTAGTGTTTCAGGGCCTCGGGCTCTGGCGCTTGTTACAGTTGTCACCGCCTGCCATGTTCAACACTGTTCTGGCCATCTTTCTAAGAAATCATAGTAGTTTTTGGACCGTTGCTGTTTCCATCCTCAATTTCAGCCTCTTACGCCTAACAGCGTCTTTTCTCTTTGCATAGTTCCCATAGGCGGTTCCCATACATTGATCAGGGTTGGGATAGCCCCAAATATTGCCGTACTTCTTTGCGTAACATCAGTATCAGCTGGATGACAAAAGTCAGAATGTAAATGAATTTCTTTTCTTAACCCTAACAACAGGTGACGCACTTAACCATAGTTTAAAATAAGTTATAGAGAGACTAGTATCAAAACTGTGTGGTACCAAAAAAAAATTTTTTTTTTTAAGAATACCTTTCAAGACATCAGAATTACTAAAAAAAGGGAAAACAAAAAACAACAGCAACCTCCCCTCCTTTAGTCAAAGCAGTATAGTTTTAGCCCTGGCTGGTGTGACTCAGTGGATTGGGTGCCGGCCTGCAAAACGAAAGGTCACCACCAGTTGGATTCCCAGTCAGGTCACATGCCTAGGTTACTAGCCAGGTCCGCAGTTGGTGGAATGTGAGAGGCTACCGATGGATGTATCTCTTGCACATCATTCCCCTCCCCCTTTCTCCCTCCCTTCCCCTCTTTAAAAATAAAGTCTTTTTAAAAAAGCAATACAGTTCGAACTAAGAGTGAGTAAATAGAATAGTAGAGAAGAGTAGTAAGTGCCAAAATTGATCTGAATATATGAGGACCTATATGAAAGGGCAGCATTTCAACATAGTGTGAAATAGATGGTGCTAGCAATAACTGTTTTTTGGGGGGGAAAAAAGTAAGACTCCTGTCCTTAGACTACACACAAAAAATGGTATTTAATAACAAATGAAAGTACACTTAAGAGAACATTAAGTTTAATATTGAAGCAAAATGAAAAACTGAGATGTCTTAAAGTATATATCAGTGTTAACTTTAAAAACAGTATTAATGAAAATCACTAAAAAATTTTCATCCAGTTGTTGGAATCAAAGAAGTGTTTAGGAGAGTGGTAGAAAAGGGTAAAGGAGGGATAAATGGTGATGGAAGGAGACTTGACTTAGGGTGGTAAACACACTATGTAGTATACAGATGATGTATTGTAGAATTGTATACCCAAAACATACATAATTTTATTAATTAATGTCACTTCAATAAAAGCAACAAAGAGTTTACCATATTTTGCCATATATAATATGCACCCATGTTTTTGGCTCAAATTTTCAGGAAAAAAATCTTTTGTTTTAATTTTTAAAATTCAATTATTTATTTATTTATAGATATTTGTTTTTGTATTATAAGGGAATTTTAGCATTTATTTTTGAACATATGGTATGAGAAAATTTTTTGTAACAAATAATTATAAGACATGAGAACAGGTACAAGGTACAAGAAATTTTATTTACTGGTAACAAATTAGTACTACCCATGTATAATGCGCATCCTTATTTTTCCCTAAAAAATTTGGGCAAAAAAGTGCACATTACATGCAGCAAAATACGTAGTTCATTTTGCAAAATGGAGCAGCTGACGTGTATCTTATTGTAAAATTTGAAAGTTCAACATGAGATAAAATGTCTGAGCTGGGTTTTCTGGGGTGTCCCTGGTGTCAGTTTTGTGTGTTCTCCTATTGTTGAATCTTGATTGCTGCTGGCAAGCCAGTGGGTGGGATTGACCCTCAGGCTGAGTGACTGAAGGTACTGGATGTGATTACAGTGGATGAGCTGTGGTGCAGAGATTGACCCCATAGAGTGTTATACACTATACTGGGACTGTGGTGCCTTCTGAGTCAACAGCTTGGGTATGTTATTTGTGGAACTAATTGGGTAGTGCTCTGGTGTAATCCGAAGCCAGCCACCAGATGTGTTGGTTCTAGGGCCTTTTGGGTGGGGGGCTTCTCTGTAGGCCCAGGTCAGCCACTACCTGTGCCTGGTCTGGGGACAAGTGGTAGGAGTGACAATGTGATCTGCATTAGATAGTTTCCTGTGCTGGACTCTCTCTCACCTGAGAGAGTCTGTGGTGCAAACCAAGGCCTACTGCTGCTGGTCCCAGGACCATTTAGCAAGAGGTAGAGGGCATGCTGAGGCCAGCTGCTGCTTGTCTGGGTTTGTGGACCTTTTAGAGATTTTAGGAGAGTCCCCAGTATGAGTCAAGATTGGCATCTTGTTAGGAATAGCCACTGAGAGAGGTTTGGGTTAGTGTTTGAGTTAGGTTGGGTGGGTTTTAGGGAATCACCAGAGTGGGATGATATTGATGGATACTGAGATTTGGTACCAGTCTGCTCCTGCTGGCTATGTGGGGAGAGGGCTCAACAAAGGAACAAACTTGCCAGCAGTATGGTCCCAGAGGGAGCTGCTCTTCCCATCCTTGCCCTGAAGCCAGACAATTCAGTTTTGCCCTGTTTCTCCCTGGCACTTTTTGAGCTGCTTCCCTGGAGCTGGAGTCAGAGCAAGTTGAGTATGTCAGTGAGTAAGTCTGTGAACAAGCCTTTGAAGAGGAACACCTGAGACAACAGCAGCCCTGCATGTCACCCAGACAGAATCCCTACTCATTTCCACAGCCAGGTGTTTTGGAGAATTTTTTTCTTAGCACTGGTGGTCTGGGCTGGGGAGCCTGGTATAGGGCTGGATTTCCTGGATCCTCAGCAGGCACCTCCACAGCCCATTTTGTATCTTTGCCCCTCCTACCAATCTTGGTGTGGCTTCTTTTTTTATATCCTTAGTTTAGGAGTTTCATTTAGCTAGTTTTCAGATGGTTCTCAACGGTGGTGGTTCTATAATTTAGTTGTAGTTTTGATGTAGTTGTGGGAAAAGGCAAGCACAGCCTTCACCTACTTTGCCAATCTTGCGGAAGTCCTATACACTTTCAAAGGGTGCATCTTATGGTATGTGAAATATATCACAATTAAAAAACACCAGACAGGGAAAATTTCATCTTACGGATACAAATATTTAGTATGTAAAATATTTATGAAGAACATACTACCAACAAAAAAGTTCAATATTTAGATTCTACAAGTAAATAGCCAAAGGACCTGTACCATTTCTTTTAAAAATATTTTATTTATTTATCTTTAGAGAGGAAGGGAAGGAGAGAGGGGCAGAAACATCAATGTATGGTTGCTTCTCATGTGTTCCCTGCTGGGAACTGGCCTGCAACCCAGGCATGTGCCCTGACTGGGAATCGAACCATGATTGTCTGGTTCTCGGGCCTGTGCTCAATCCACTGAGCTACACCAGCCAGGAGGAGCTGTACCATTTCTACAGAATGAAGTAAAAAGTAGAAATTCACTTGGAAAAATTCACTGCCTCATAAATGGTAATGAAATAAAACATAGGTAAAACCTTATCATATCTCTATTAAACCAGCAAAAAAATAATGTCAGACATTGCTTTGGGCATGAAATGTTTTAAATCTTTCTGGAGGATTATATGGCCATTGTAGCAAATGTTATCAAACAGTTCACATTCTAGAACTATTTTTAAGAATAACAGGAGAAAAAGAAATAAGTGTATAGTGAGGTGATGGAAAATAAACACGAAGCTGATCTTGAAAAGGGCAGGAATAATTGGAAGTAACAAATGACCAACCATAGGGAACAGCTGAGCAAATAGGGCACATGAATTGTGTCAGCATGTGGATTATTCACATAGACCAAAGCACCACAAAGACAGCAAAACATGTGTTTTGTGCTCTGGTCAGACCATGGAGAACTGGAGTCCAATCTAGGCTCTAGTGTGAAGATACAGAAAGAGGAGTTGGTGTAGGAAGAGTTTAGAGTTTAATCTTAATTATTTTTTTTCTTACATCCTTTCTCTTTGTATCTATCTAATGGGGGATGATAGAGGGGACATCTGAGAACTAGAGCACCTAATATTCCACAGGCCCACAGAGTTTCAGGTATAGATCAGGACAGAATAACTGGACATTTGGAATGTATGTCAAATGTTTTCCCACCACAGTAGCCCCATCTCTCTCTCAGTGTTCAGTAGGGAAGTGGAATCTCACAGTGATCATTGAGTGACAACAAATGGAATTATTATAAAATTTTCTAATCAGTTTATCAGGTCTAACCAGTGCTCTTTAAGAACCATAGTTTACTATTCCAAGTACAAAAAACAAGTTATAGCAAGATACTCTGCTTTTTTTTAAAATCTAGAATTCCCAAATCCTCAAAACGGGAGAATAAACTGAGGGGGCATGTCCTTGCCATGGGGTCCTGGGGGAAATGAGAGTGGGATCTCTGTCTCAGGAACCTCTTAGGGTATTAATGCATAGAAGGATTTATTGAGCAATAGCCATGCACTTTGTACTCTGAAGAAAAAATGGCATGTCATCATTACACGTGTTTTCTTTTTTCACCCTTGGTTTACTTCTATTTAAGCACCTAGCTTACTTTGACTACTACTCCATTAGCTCCTGGGGCACACAGACTATTTTCTGATTTATTATATTTCCCAAAGCACCCAGAACCCAGTATATGTACAATAATAACTGTTGAGTGTATGAGTTCAAGATACAAGGTTGGGAGTTGGAAGAAAGACAAAAAGTATAGGGCATTCAGTGAGGCACCTGGCTACCCACTGGACAGATGGTGAGAGGACCCATGTTCTTCCCTCCATCATGTGTTCCGGGGCTGAAGATAGGTTGAAGGGGCCCAGAGGAAGAGAAGCTGGTGAATGTGTAGATGTGAGATTTGGCTGCCACATTGTAAAAGGAAATGTCTCCAGCCAAGTAGCCCAGGAGGATGCTCACATGCCTGGGGGGTTCCTTATCTGCAGGTGGATTGGGGGAAAGGTGGACACCTGGTACTCATTTTGCTTCATCATCATCACCACCCAGTAGCCATTCTCCAGTGACAAAGTCATGCTCCCCTTTCTGCGTATGAATGTCTTGCAGATGCCCAGGGCCCACGCTGTCTCGTCTTCCACCTCCACTTCCCAGTAATGGTGGCCAGAGAGGAAACTCGGAGAGCCCAAGTCGATGATGCAGCTAGCAAATCTTTCTGGATTGTCAGGCATATGGTTTTACTTGTTTCCAAGTCTAATACTCTTCAGGTCATCAGAGACGATGAGGTTGGAGTGGGCAGTTTCTTCATTCAGAAGTACATTAACTGCAGAGATAATGAGAATACCTAGCAAGGGGTTCATGGGCAACATCCCCACAGGTTCTCCCCACCTCCAGGAAACATGGGCAGGGCTGCTCTTCTGGAACGCAGGGGCAGCACAGGGACCCATCAGGCCAAGGCCACTCACCTTGAACTGGGCACTTACCAGCATGTACCTGAGCACCAATCAGTTCTGGAACTACAGAGAAAAAGGAGATGAGGGGGGTGTGGGGAAATCCTGAGTATTCCCATTCTGAGAGTTAAATCTACCTTGGTTCTCACAACAAGGAAAGACAAGGACCCCGATGTTCAGGAACCTGATTCCTCTGCTTGGATATAACCCCATTCCATTTAGGCTCCTGGGCCTGCTTTGGAGGCTTTTGTGGTCTGATGAGTTGACCCCCCTCTAAAGGAATCTTGCACAGAGCCTATGAGGGCCTGTTGTGACCTTTCTCTTGCCTTTGTTACAGGTGCTTTGCTCCCTTCTAAATAATGCCCAGAAATAAACAGTATAACAGCACATATTACCACCACCATACTTACCATTGAAGGTTTCCATTCCTGAACGCAGGGTTTCTAAAGGAGAAAGGGAGACAGAGTTAAGTTTGCCAGCTAGAGACAGATTGGGGGAGGCTGAAGGCAGAGTCAGAAAGCTGTGAGAGGTGGAGAAGGGATGCCCAGGGACTCCTGGATACATGGATCTCAGGGAGGAAGTGAGCAGGTACCTCCTATTTTCCCACAAGCCCACCTACCCAAGAAATGCTTTACGCTCTTCTCCACAAACTCTGATTTCTGGTGGAGGAGGTGGATCTTTTCTTTTACCTCTAGAGGAGTGGTCCATGGCTCAGGGATAGTCACTGTCTTGGCTCTAGAAACAAAAACTGTTGTCCAGAGAGGGCTGGAGCATGGGAGTAGCCCAAGTTCTCATAAAATGGGAGGTGCAACCTCCACAGGCTATACCTAGCCCAGCCTGGGCTTTGCAAAGAAAGTCCTCCCTGGACTTCAAGTTCTAAATCATGGTCTTCAAGTTTGGCCATGGATTTGCATCATGTAGAGAGTTTTAAAAACCACTGATATTAACTTCTCAGTGAGTTTTAAGAATTGCCTTAAAATGCTTCTGATTTGAAATGTTCAGCCCAGAATTATCTATGTCAAATTAATTATACTTCCCTAGTCTTTTTCTTTCTATGGAAATAACATGATAGTTGATGAGGAAAAAACACAATGATATACTACTTCACACCCATTGGGATGGCTATTAAGAAAAAAATAAAGCCCTGGCTGGTATAGCTCAGTGGATTGAGTGCGGGCCTGCGAACCACACAATCGCGGTTCGATTCCCAGTCAGGGCACATGCCTGGGTTGCAGGCCAGTTCCCGGCAGGGGACTCACAAGAGGCAACCACACATCGATGTTTCTCTCCTCTCCTTCCCTTCCTCTCTAAAGATAAATAAATAAAATCTAAAAAAAAAAATTTAAAAAAGAAAAAAACAGACATGTAGCTCATTGGTAAGAGTATCATCCCAATACCGCAAGATTGTGGGTTCGATCCCAAGTCAGGGCATGTACAAGAGTCAATCAGTGAATGCATAAATAAGTGGAACAACAATGTTTCTCTTTCTTTCTCTCTTTCCTTCCTCTTTCTCTAAAATCAATCAAATAAAAATAAAAAAAATGAGTGTTAGCAAGGATGTAGAGAGATTTGAATCCTTATGCATTGCTGTGGGAATGTAAAATGGTACAGACACTGTGGGAAATATTATGATGCTTCCTCAAAAAACAAAAGAACTAAACATATAATTAGTATATGATAGAAAAATTCCACTTCTGGGTGTATATACCCAAAAGAATTGAAAGCAGAGACTCAAACACATATATCTGTACCAGTATCCATAGCAGCATTATTCACAATAGCCAAAAGGTGGAAACAATCTAATTGTCCTTTGATGGAAGGAAGGATAAACAAAATTTGATATATACATGCAGTGGGATATTAGTCAGTCTGAAACAGGAATGAAATTCTGACACATGCTGCTATAGCATGGATTAACCTTGAAGACATTATGCTAAATGAAATAAGCCAAATATCGAAGTACAAGTATTTTATGATTCCACTTATATGAGGTCATTAGAGTAGTCAAATTCACAAAGACAGAAAGTAGAGTGGTGGTTGCTGGGGGTTCAGGGTGGGAGGGGTTAATGGTGTGGAGTTCCATTTGGAAAGATGAAAACGTTCTGGAGATGGATGGTGGTGTTGGTTGTATAATAATATGAATGTATTTAATGCCACTGAGCGTACATTTAAAAGTGGTTAAAGTGGTGAATTTTATGTTATGTATATTTTGCCACAAAAAAAGATTTAAAAATTGATTTCTGGGTTGCACCCCTGAAGATTCAGCTTTAATTCATCTGCTAGGGCCTGGATGTCAGGATTTTGTAAGGCTTCTGGGGTGATTGTAATGTCCAGCCTCCTCACTCTGATATCCTCCCTTGCCTGCTGGGCTTAGCAGCTCCACTCCTGGAACGTGGTTTCCTCCATGAGGCCACAAGCACTTTGCAGGAACAGTTTTCATGAGGCGAATTGCATAGGACACAATCTATTAGGAAGTTGTCTTAGGTAGCCACCATCAGCATGGCAAGCTGTGTTTATTCTTTCCAGTCTTTGAGCTCATGTTCTCCCTCCTGATCATACACCTGTTTTCCCTACACAAATCCAGAAAGGCCTTAGGTAGCTGCAGGAAATGGGAGGAACCTGGGGAGGAATCCCAAACTCAGGGTTGGGAACATCTCCATTCTAGGACTTCCTCACCAAATGCTTCCTGCAGGATACCCAAGGGATCATCAAGGGACCTCTCGATACCTGTGCAGGATGACTCCGATGTCCTAGGAGAGAAAAGAGGGAAGCTCTCCATTACTGTACTCCTATGGGATGCACTGACCACTGGCCTCTCTGGCCCCAGGACATCAGCAAAACTGGGGTACCTCTCCCAATTCTAATTCTAATTCCCCGAGGTGGCAACCTAGCTGTGGCCTGCAACATAACTGCACCCAAGTCCTGCTGATCTCCTCTGGGAGATGCCAGGAGAACCCCTGGATTCTGGGCCGCTCTGGGATCCTAAGAGCTTATCAGATAGATGGGTCTGGGCATAAGAGGCATTGCAGGTCACCAAGACCAAGTCCCACCATTGGCCCCAAGGACCCGGACAGAGCTGATGTCAGTACTGGGTGTCCATGTCATCCTACTGGGCATGGTGTACAGGTCAATGCCTGGTCCAGTCATACTCACCTGCATAAGCTCCCATTCTGGCTGACACTGCTTGGCTTCCAGCTCCTCAATTAGCTTGTTGAGATCGGCAATATCCCTCGACACTTGGCTGTCATACGTCTCCCTGACCTGGCCAATGGTCTGGCCTAGTTCCTCTAGCCAGGCCATAAAGAGCTGCTCTTGCTGCTCCAGAAAGCGGTGTAACTTCTCCAGCTGGTACCTGACTCTTTGCTTCTGGATTTCAGTTTGTTTCTGGGAACAGGAAACAGGGAGGTGTGGGTGTCTGTGCTGTAGGATGGATGTGTGCTTCAGGAATCACCAGAAGCCCACCTCCTGGAGGCAGATAAGAGGCAGGCTCCCTTGGCCTCTTAGAGGCTTGCATTCCAGAGCAGGAGGCAAAATGGACCAGAATCTTTCACAACAGACTGAGGGCAAAAGGGACTGGCTCTTGGAAAATGCCCTAAAACCTATTATAGGTTAAATTAGGTTTTCTCTAAAATTCATATATCAAATTTCTAATCCCTAGTACCTGAGAATATAGTCTTATTTGGAAGCAAGGATTTTGCAGATGTAATTAGTTAAGATGAGGGCACACTGGAGTGGGGAAATTAGGGAAAACACACACACACACACACACACACACGGCAAACATCATGTGAAGAGAGACAGGGAAAAGACAGGTGTCTACAAGTTGAGGAGAGAGGCCTGGAATATGCCCTTCCCTCAGGACCCTCAGAAGGAACCAGCCCTGCCAAGATATTCATTTTGGGCTTCTAGCCTCTGGAACTGCCAGAGAATAAATTTCTGTGGTTTAAGCCACCCAGTTGGTGGTATTTTGTTACTGCAGCCACAGAACATAGATACCTGATGTCCCCTTCTTCCTTCCTGAAAAGCTAGTGTGAGGATGGCATATACTTGGGGTCATAAATGGACAAGATCATGACCACCAAACTCTCCAGAAGGGAAACTTCTCTCCACTCCCTGTCCCCTGCCCCAAGTGATGGCATGCAGAAGTTTCTCAGTATGGCTCTGAATGGGGTCGTCAGTCCATTTATTTGAATGTAAGTGAACTTGACTTCCACTACCATCGCACACTGGTCAACCAGTAGCTCTGTTGCCTTATTTCTCATCATCACTAGGAAGCATCTGTGGAGAGGTGACGTGGCTCTAGAGCACCTTTTCCTTCTCCCAAGAAGGGCAAGGGCCCTTCAGATCCACTAAGACTGGACTTAAGAAATCTCTTCATTATTGGCTCAAGAGAACAGGACTCACTCCTGTTCTTTTGAACCAAACACTCCTCCTCACTTTTTGGTGTTGTTGTTGGCCGTAATGTTGACTTTTTTTAAAGGACAGGTCATTTGTTTTGTTTAGTGGCCTATATCCTAAAATTGTCTGATAATTTTGCTTATGATTAAATCCAGGTTAAGCACTATGGACCAGAGTACCACATATTTAATGCTGTGGTCTTCCTAGCATATCTCATGGGGAGGCAAAGAATTTCTAGTTTGCCCATTACCATTATTGCAATACTGGGATCAGTTACCTGATTAAGGAAGTGTCTCTCTGCACTGTAATATACATTATTTCCTTTATAGTTATTAAATAATTTGGGGAATATGCTTTGAGAGTGTGTAAATATCCTGTACTCTAATGATCTAAAAATTTAAGCATTCATTGAGAATTCCTGTTGGTGTCAATTTTTATATTGGTGGTTATATAATGAAAATTTCTAATTCAGTTATTCTTCTATACTTGTTTTAGCTGGCATGATGCTATAAAGAAGAGCTTTTTTTCCCCCTTTCTTATGAGTAAATTTTTTTTTTTGATGATTGAAAAAAGGAGAAGTTCTGAAAATAGCATGTTGTTTCCACAGTGGCCTGTGTCACTGTGTCCTCTTTGCCTGTTTCCCATTATGATGTGATGGGTCCCAACCAAAGTTTGGAACCTGGAGGAGGAGATGGGATCCAGCCAACAGAAGTGAATCAGACAGATCACGGCTCTGTAAGTAGGTGCCTTCACTTGCAGGTGAAATGGAAGCAATTTACACATTCGAAAGGCTGTACATCTCCACAGAGGAAGGCCAATAATTTGTGGCATTGCAAAACTGTGGTTTTATAGAAAATGTGTACTTTAACCATCTGAGTTTTAAAAATCAACACTGTTTTTGTAAAAAATTAAAACAGACAACAACCATGATAAAAGCAATAAAGAAAAGTATTCAAGTTGAAAAGTCCTTCCTTTTTGTCAGTCTCATCCCTGAACCACAGCCTCTGGTATTAGTTTCTCTAAACCGTTTCATGATGAGTATGAGAAATTGTAAGAGCATCCTTGGAGATGCCCCTCCCTGTGGTGGTCAGTTCCCCTCTGCAGGGATGAGCTCATCCTTGGACACCTGTTACCTTCCTGCCCTTTGCCCCTCAAGAGCAGGTAATTCTAAATATGTGATCAGCTCTGCTTCCCTATGAACCAGAGAAGAACCCTGGGGACCCTCGTTTATGCTCTGTCCCTTCCCTCTTTCTGCAGAGGTGAACCCGGGTAAAGACTGGCCATAGAAATGTCCTCGGCCTTACCAGGTAGTTTGCTATGTTCTTATCCCCCTGAGATCTTTGCTCTTCTCCAGATTTTCTCAGCTCCTTCAGATGCTCCAGCTGCTTCTGAATTTGCTCCTAGACAAAGAGTACTTGTTGAAGCTTAAACTTGTCTCCTGCTATGTTTAGTTGGTGCCAGCTCTAGAGGGGAAAATCTGCTTTGGGGAATAAAGCCGAGGGTGTGCAGCCAAGAGCAAGTGGAGGGGTGCCCAGGAAAGAATGAATCCATCACACCAAGGGAAGCAGAAGCAAGAAAAAGAAATTCCCAATGACCTTGTGAGCACCTGGATTCAGCTATACCTGAAGTGAGGCCTTGGACCTCTGAGCTACATGAAGTGGTAAATTCTCTCTTTGCTATCCTGGTTTGTATTATGTTTTTGCCATTTACAGCTTAAGAATGGTGACTAACATATCAACCTCCTAGAGTCATTGGGAAAATGAAGCAAGCCCCCGCATATCCAAGTGCTCAGCAGAGAAGGGCCCACAGGCAGGAAGTCCTACCTTGTATTCCAGAGCAGCTTCCTCGATGGGGCGTACCCAGTGGCCTCGGTGCTCCTGACTCAGGCTGCAGATGAGGCAGATAGTTTCCCCATGGTCCTCACAGAAGAGCAACTGGGCCTGCTTCATGTGACGCTCACATTGTGGCAGGGGCTTAGGGCTCAGGCAGGCCATCAGTAGGCCCTCCTGTCGCTCAGGGTCTCCAGAGCTCTCTGTTGGGAGTGAGGCCTGGTACCTGGGGCAGCTGGGCAAGCAACCACCCGAGGTCTTGGGATCCCTAGAATCAATGGAGCAGCTGCAAGAATTGTGCACACAAGTGCCACCAACCGGGTCTCCTTCCTGGGCACGGCAAAGGGGACACACAACTTCATCCTGCGGCCTCCCTAGGGACATGGCAGTGGAAAAATCTCCTGAGTGACAAACCCAAGATGTTACAAAGCGGTAATGCAAAAGCACAGGAGAGAAAGAGCCCACGCCTAAGACACACAAACTCTCTGTTAGACTGTGGCCACTTCCTAGCTTGTCCTCCTCTGATTTCCCTCCAGCAAGGCAACAGACAAGTCCCTGGTATTGAGAGCTAAGGGCTAGATCTCATGACAGTCCTGAGACCTGGAATTCTTGGGTACTTATCCTAAAGAAAGGCCTTTTGCTTTAATTCTATGCCTTCCCACACATCTACTGATCTAACTGATAATATAAAGACAGCAAGACATTTTGACCAGCGTTGGCTTTACCACTTAAAACCACCCAGGCTACTCATGACTTGAGTGGGTACTCCTGGGGGACACCGACTGGCTCATAGCCAGACCTCCAGATCCTGGCAGCGTCCCCGTGACATGGTCAGTCTTTTGGAAGTTTGCGTTGAATGAGGAAACAAATGGACCACCTTTCACACCCACGTTCAGGAAGTATTAAATGAAAGTAAAGAAGGGAACTTTCTTTAGGCTAAGGCTAAAGGGTGTCGCCTGCCGTGATGACATACAGCTGTGATTAGCTCTACCCTGAGGCCATAGCACAACTTGATGAAGCAGAAATGACAGGAGCTCCAAGAAGAAGTAGAAACACAACCCATTAATGCCCTTCCACCTCTTCCTCACAGGGTTCCAGAAATTTATAAAATATCTGTGAGACTGCAAGAGGCCACATAATAACTGTTCTCCCCTCCTTCCCTTGTGGTAGAATTGATTGCTGTCCATATGGCTGCTCCCCCCGACTCAACCCTACCCCAAATAAAACTACATTTCTCAGCTTCCTTTGCAGTTAGTTGTGGCCATTTGGTTACATTGTGGCTAAAGGGATGTAAATGGAAGTGTCATGACCAACTTCTAGAAACTTCTGGAAACCTTCCCTAAGTGCCACTATTCTCCTTCGTCTCTCTACCTTGCTCCCTGGAATGAGGATGCCACCATTTGAGACCATGAGCTTGAAAGCAAATTTGATGAGCAGAAGAGCAGCAGGACCCTGGATTCCTGGCCCACGGAGTACCACATCTGCCCTGGACGACCTGTGTATCATTTGTGTGAAAGAGGAACAAACTTCTTTCTTGTTTCAGTTACTGTTATGGTGTTTCTGTCATTCAAAACCCAGCATAATTCTAATTTCTGCCACGTTTGTATAAAAGAGACCTGGGGTTTTGGCCAACAGCTCTCCTCCCTGAGAGGCAAATGGTGGATTCTTGGTTCCGTGACATATGGCCATAGGGCTATTGAGAAAAGGGGACATTTTTACCCAGTCTTTTCCAGGTGCTCAACCTGGGATCCATGAAGACCTTAGAATTCTAAAGCAGGACTTCAGAGTGTGTAAGAAATAACTAACTGAAATTTAAGGCATCATTTTGTGAAGATGTGCATTTATAGGTTTTTTTCAGGATTCACAGCCTCCAACAGATTCTCAAAGGGTTGGGGACCTCACGGGGGCACCCAGGGGGATCCAGTAACATTAGTACAATGGGGATAAAAGAAGGTTTGTGGAGGAATATCTGCACAGGTCACCACCCCTAAGGATGTCAAGTCATCTGGATTCTGGGGTCCTTTCTTACCTGAAGATGGAGGGACTCCTGGATTTAAAGGCTCACTGCCTACTGCCTCCCCCGCGGTCCCAGGGGTCTCTGGTTCCTCATTTTTGTTTTTCTCTGAAGGTGTGGATTTTGGATGCTCCCAGGTCTTCTCCTCTCCAGCCAATGACATATTGGAAAGCACATTCCTGAATGCTTCCCCATCCAGGGTTGCAGAATGTTCTGGATTTCTGGAGCATTTCTTCAGAGCTACGGTAGCCCCTACAGTCAGAGTGGCCACTTTGCGGAGGATAGCTGGTGAGTTAGGATTCTCACTTATGATTTTCTCTTGAGGCAGAAGAGTTCCTAGATTGGGCAGTTCTCTCTCTCCTGAAGAAATGGTAAATTCAAGACTTCTGGGTCGATTCTTTTTTGAAGGTACATATGGTTCAGATATCTTGCATTCTTTCCTGCCCGGGGACCCAGCAGGTGACCCACTGGAAAGTCCTTGGAGTCTTCCTGCAGAGCTGGCATTCCTGCGTAGTCTGACACTTGAATTGCTCCCCTTCTCCCCTTGTGGCTTGCCTGGGAATGGACTTCTCTTGGAAGACAGATTTACACTCCTAGGGCCTGGCTTGCCCTGGACATCCAGGCCCTCTGAGCCCTTCTGATCTCTCCGTTTACCCTGAGGCTTCTTCTGGGGCCCCTTACCAGCCTCGGGCTGGCTGGTTGTCCCATCACCACTTGGCTGCTGCCTGTCACCTTCCAGGCCATCTGGTATCCTTAGGTTTTTGGGCTTATTCTCCCCAGATAAACAAGACATTGCCAAACAGTCAGTGCCACTTTCTTGTATCGGATATTCTGAAAAGACAAGGTGATGCAAAGGCATGAAAATGTTGGGTACTTAGGCCAAGGGCTGGGAGAAGAGACAGAAGAGAGAATCCACACAGAAATTAGAAAAGGTCTGGCTCTCGCTGGTGTGGCTCAGTGGATTGAGTGCCAGCCTGCAAATCAAAGGGTCGCCGGTTCGATTCCCATTCAGGGCACATGCCTGGGTTGTGGGCCAGGTCCCCATTAGGAGGTGTGTGAGAGGCAACCACACATTAATGTTTCTCTCCCTCTCTTCCACCCTTCCCTTCTGTCTAAAAATAAGTAAAATCTTGAAAAAAGAGAAAAGTTCTGAATATTCTAGACAATAGCAGTCACCATTAAATGAAAACATACTATTTGCTATATATTTTTTGAATAGTATCTTTAAACTTTTTAGGCAGAAGAATTTATTTCCAATATGAGAATTCAAAAAACAGAATTCTTTTTTTTTAAGATTTTATTTATTTGTCTTTAAAGGAGAGAGGGAGAGAAACATCAATGTGTGGTTGCCTCTCATGCACCCCCTGCTGGGAACTGGACTGCAACCCAGGCATGTGCCCTGACTGGGAATTGAACCCCAATCCTTTGGTTCACAGGCCTGTGCTCAATCCACTGAGCTAAGCCAGACAGGCCTAAAAACAGAATTCTTCATACATAAAATAAATGAACCGTAGCTATTGGTATGAATTTGTGTGTGATTATAAAATCAATAAATAAAGAATTCACTTATAAAATCAATGAAGAATTAACAGGTATATTGCTTCTCAGCCTTTTGGCTAAGATCAGATGTAGCACCTGTTCCTATCAGTTTAATATCTGGTACATTTTCTACCCAAGGACAAGATATTAAGTGGGTTTTTGGAATTAGGAGGTGAGATAATGGCTTGCTCCATCTACTTCATGCATCCATCTGGTATTGCAATACTTCCAGGAATGGTGCACCCTCTCTGGGGGAAATTTTCAGTGTTTCAAAGTAAGGTTCATCTAGGTGGACATACAAATAAGTTTTCTGGAAATGTAAAAAAAAAAAAAAAGAATTAGGTGTAAACTAGACTTTTGGTGGTGAGCATGCTGTAGTGCATTGAATTATAATGTACACTTGAAACATGTTATCAACCAATGCTACTGCAGTTACAAATAAATAATGTCTCAGAAAAACAAAACTCAATTACAATAGTAATTGTAATTGAGCAATAGTAAGCAAGGGAAGAACAGCTGTATTCGGAATGGTCAGATAGTGGTAATCATTGAAGTGGGTGATGGGTACAAAGAGGCTTCATCATAGTACCTGCTACCCCTGAGTATGTTTGAAAATCTATATTTAAAAGTTTTAAAGGAAAAAAAGAAAACCTTCCACACACAAGAGGATAGCACGAAGGTGTACCTATAGATCTTGACATTAGATACAGCAGAGAAGGAAAATCTCTTCTGAAGATTTGTAAACACCAGCGGTCTCTTTTAGGCCTCTGCTCCAATTCCCATTAGTCATGCAGTCCGAAAAACCTCAAGACAGCAATTTTATTTGAAGAGGGTGCTAGGTGGTATTGCCCCTAGACGATTAGGGGGAGCAGAATTTCCACACCGCTGTATGATACATTGGAAAGTTGTTAAGAGAGTAAATCCTAAAAGTTCCCACTTACTGTATGAGAACATGGGTGTTAGCTGAAACTATGTGGTAATCATTTCACAATATATGTAAATCAGACCAGCATGCTGTATGTATGCCTTAAACTTATACAGTAATATATGTCAATTATTTCTCGATAAAAAGTGTTTTGCATAAAAATTTGAAATGAGGTTATGAAAGACAGTTAAAACTTCATAAAGTAATTTCTATCTGTATTTCCCTTTGGTTTCATGAGGTGAAGAAAATCCTGACTCCCACAGATAAGTGAGTGTAAATGGTAATTCTTTTAAATAAACAGCTTACCCTGAAATTTCAGGTTACTGTTTAATAAAACAGAAATGACAGGAAAGGCTTAGTCCCAAGATTTACACAAAGAGGAGTTCAAGTCACAGTGTGAGCTATCACACTGGTAGCCTTCAGCATTTTAAAATTTTATTACTGATACATTTTAATATGAATTTGTTAGTTGTTTTAAGTTAAAAATTAATAAAATTTGAATCAAGTATTTGCTAATATTCTAAATAATCCCTGAAATTCCATCCTGGGATATAACTTGAAAACTACTACTCTAGTAAAGAAATGAAGATAACCTGTGATTAGCCCTTAATATTTGGTTTGAGGAAGCTCATTAAAGTTATTTTAAAATTGTTTAAAGCACTTTGCTGTTGGCTTTGTAGGAAAACATAAGTTACCAAAGATGGCTTAAGAACTGGTGAGAAACCCTGAACTTGCTAATAACCAGATTTTAAAACATAAAAAAGTAATTCTATTCATCAAATTAATCCAGATTCAGATTACAGTTGGTTTAGTTCTATCATTAGTTCAAAGAGCAGAGAATTTTTAAGTTACTTAAACTTTTCTACCACAAAGAAACATTAAAAGTACTTCTAATGCACTCTCAAAGTGTAGAAATCGAAGAAAAATTAAAACACCAAAGCATATTCTTAAAAACTGACCATGTGTTAGCCACCCCCAAATCTTTAAAATGTCTTTGAAAGCAGAAATCAAATAGGCCACATTATTTGATTACAATATAACGGAATTGGAAAGTACAGCAAGAGGGTAGCAGAGGAAGGAGAAGGAAGAGAGAGGAAAAGAGAAAAGGGAAGGCAGGGAGGGAGGGAGGGAAGGAAGAAACAAGAAAGAAAAGAAAAAGGAGAAAGTCCCCTTGACGATTTTAAAGTGGCCTTTGTAAAACATGTTAAAGAAGAACTCATAACTGAAATTAGATGGTTAACAATGCAAAGATCACCTATAAACCCTGTTAATATGATCAGTTAGCAAGCCATTTTTGTTCACCGGGATAGTTGTCTGTGCACAGGTGTTGATCACAAACAACATGAGGAATTCTTTGAAATCAGGTGTCTGGCTCCTACCTCTCCTGATCCTTCCGAGTCAGAATCTCCAGCTGCCCACTTCCCGCCCCTGCCCTTTTTAAGCCATTGGGAGCCTTCGCTTTGCTAATCCAGCTCCAGAGACAAAGGGCTTTACTTAGCAAAGGCACTAGCATCATGGTGGACCTGGGACTCTTAGCCCCTAAGTTGGAGTGCTAGTTCTTGTCTCTTCCACTCCACCTCAAGAACAGCTAGCAGAGGAGGGGACATGGGGTCTGCTTACCTGGACCAATCGCCCTGTGGAGCTCCTCTGCCAGGAGGTGCTGGTTGATGGCCCTCAGGACCTGCAGTGTCAGCCGCACGGCACACTTCTCCCCATAGTGGGTGAGCATCAGAGTGGCCAGCTTCACTGGCTTAGCTGTCTGGAGCTGGCCTCGGGGTATCCGAGGATGCTCCTTCTCCAGGCTGGTGTTTTGCAGCTTGAACTTGAACTTTTCAAAGTCATAGGGCACCAGCTCCTCCAGGGAGTACAAGAGATGGTCACTAGGGGTCTTGGCCATAGTATTGACCAGGAGAGGTTAGAGCCAGCTGTCTGGCTTCTGGGAGGAGAAAAGGTCCTCTGTCCTGGAGCCCAGGGTGTAAGCGAGAACTTGTGAAATAACGGAAAAGGCACAGGAAATGCTTTGTGCTTTGGTGGGAACTGAGACTATAAGAGGTCATTGGTGGCTTGTGTTCTCTTTCTCCCAGATTCAGACACTTTTCCAGCTGGAGGACTTGATGCCGGCCCCACACGTGGTCTTCCAGTGCCCCAGCTCTCATCCCCAAAGGCTAGACTGTTGGGTGGTGGGAAAGTCTGTGAGGGAGGGTCTGGAATTGGATTCCAGCCTCTTGGTCTTTGGGCAGGCACTCGAATGCTTCCCTCTTTCCTACTTTCAGGGTTCAGGGGTGGGAACAGAGTCCCTGGTCCCTTGCTGGAGACAACCATGATGAGGATCAGCCCCTCTGGCCAACTCTTCTCTAGACTCTTGGGTTTTATTGACCACCCAGAGCCAATAGCTGGGGGAATAGGGAGCAGTAAATACAGTCCTGCAAGCTTTGTGGTTCTCTCCCCAAGAAGGCAGGCAAGGCCAGAGGGCACTGCCAGGAGGCAAGCCCTGGTGTCACCCCTGTTAATATAATTCCAGCTGTTCGGTACCACCAGCAACATGAGGTCCTCCTAGTGCCATGCTCGGGACCACCACCTTCATTTGTTTGTTCCCAGGGCTGACTCTGCTCTGGCTTCCTGGGAGCATACCCGAGAGAGAACACTCATCTGTGCACATTCACAGGATGGATATTCTGAACACCATGTCAGGATGCCAGAGAAACAAGGTGTAAAAAGGCACAGGTGTCCTTTGGGACTCACAGCCCATTGCCCCAGGGGGGCTCATGGTGGCTGTACCAAGGGTGAACTGACCTCTCCCTTAGTTAACTGCTTCTGTCTTTCTGCATAACGTGATTTTTATCCCTAGCGTTTTGTTTTGAAATTTTTCAAACCTACAGAAAAGTTGAGAGCATAAGTACAATGAACTCACATAAATCCTTTACTTGGATTCACAAACTGTTAATATTTTATAGTATTTGGTGATACTATACTCTCTTTTCTCTTTCTCTCTCATATTCACTTCTTTTTTTGAACCATTTGATAATAAATTTAAAGCATTATTAGATATCACTCAAGTACTCTAGATATCCTAAATACTATGAACAGGGATATAAATCTATTATCTCAAATAATCAGAATACAGTCATTACACGCAGGAAATAAAATGTCGTTAAATCAAATTCTCCCAATTATCTTGATAATGTCCTGGACAGCTTTTTCCTTCAGCCCAGGCCCAATGAGCAGTGCTTTTAGTTGTCATGTCTCTATGGTCTCCTTTCATCTAGAGCACTTTCACACTTCCCTGCTCTTTTTTAAAAAATTATTTATTTCCAGAGAGAGGGAAAGAGAGGGAAACGTCAGTGTGTGGTTGACTTTCACACCCCCTACTGGGGACCTGGCTCACAACCCGGGCATGTGCCCTGACTGGGAATCGAACCGGCAATCAGTCCACTGAGCCACACCAGCCAGGGCCCTGCTCTTTGATTCTTTCAAAACATTAATGTTTTTAAAAGGTTCTATCCCAAACAGAATGTTTCTCAGTTTAGATTTGTGTGATTGTTTTCTCATTATTAGACTCAGGGTCCATTCGGGCATCCTTGAGATCTCTCCATTGTAAAGGGACATTTTTCTTTGTAATTAATTAGCAATCTGTGCAGAAATGTCTGGTTCTCCCACCATTTTTCATCCCATGGTTTTAGCATTCATTGATGATCCTTTCCTAAATCATTTGCTACAATGGTGGTTGCAAAATGGTGACATTTCTACCACTTAGATTATGACTTATAGTCCATATTCTGGTTTAATCTTTGTCTTTCTCATGACATTTTTGGTTTACAGATGTTTCACTGGTAATGTAGTTACTTTCTAACAGTTCTTACTCTATAAAGCACAGCTTGCTTTATATCCATCCTCTCCCAGAATTTCTGCAGCTTCCCTTCATGGCAGGATTCATCACCCCATTTACAGACAAAATTAGTGGCTTAGTAACTTGCCTTCAGCCAGGATTCAAACCCACTCTAATAGTCACTTTGCAATATTGTCTCCCTGTATGATAATTTTACTATGCATCTCTAAATGTCACCTTTTTTAGCTGACCACTGAAGCTCAAAATGGGCATTACTGACCACTCCCACAGGTCAGTGACAACATTCTGATGCCTGGCTGAACAAACAACCCTGTGTGTGACCAGCCTGAGATCAAAGGCTTCACTGAGTTCTGGTTGATTGAATTTATCTTATTGTCCAATTGGCTATGTGCTTTGTATTTTACAGTAATCAGTAAATCAGTGCTGAAGAAGAGTAATCAGGGCTTTTGGTTTGACAGCTGACAACATCATGTCCTCTAGATCCTGCTGAAAAGATAACCACCGACTCAACATTTTCCCTAAAATGCACATTTCTGGTACAAATGTCAGATTGTGAAATTGTCACGTTGGTCAGCAGGGTGTTGACTGGGGTGTTTCTAGGACCAGGATCAGTACAAGATTATGGAAAACAGCAACGCGTTTTCTGTATGTCATCACTGCTGACGCGGAATGATGACATTATGTGATGATTGCAGAATCCTTTGTGTTTCTTGGGTCTCTGACCCTGTCTTGACTGGCCAGGAAACTCTTCTAAGCTGCCACTATAACAGACTGGATAGGAAGCTGGGCTTTCCAGTCTCTTTTGCAATTGCAGTGACATCTTCTGCAATGGGCAATTCTGAGGAAGGGACTTCTTGAAAAGTGATGTTTTGATGTCACTGTGGAGTTTCTAGGTAGAGAGGCTCATGAAGCTTTCATTTTTTAGGCTCCAGTGAGTTTTTACAATGAAGAAATGTGAAAATAGGATTATAGTTCTTGGGGTGCATTTTAAATCTTTGATTTTCCAGTTAGAGTGGAGTGTTGAATTCTTATTTATTGTACCTCTGGGACTTATTATGTGTGCCCTTTTTAGGGACAACATGACAAATCTACATCCAAGGCAGCTGCTGCAAAGGGTCCAAACTCTGCTCTTATTTCTAAGTAATGCACAGCTGAGGTATCCCAGCCTTTATTCCATTCCTGGTTGTTAGTGGTTTTACTTTCTACTGTGGCAGGATAGTAAGAAGCCAGGGAAATTCCTTGACAAATGGAATAAGGGAAACTGGACAAAATAATTAAACAAGGACAAAGGATTTGAGCAATTTACAGTCAGCTAATGAATCACAAGATTTTATCTTCCCTAACCAAGTACACTTAGGAGTAAATATTTTACACATTCCAAACTTTCCTGGGACAGAACAGCTTAGGGCCCAGTCCCTCTTCAATGATGTTCTTGATAATGTTCTTTAAAAATGAATCTAACCTGAAAATAACCCCTGACCCCTCTATATGCACATTTGGATGGATTAACATATTGAAGGACACACCTGAAAACCTAATGAATATTCTGTTAAGACCCTAGACCTCCCCTTGGATTCCAGCCAGCCAAAGAAGATAAATCTCAAGACAAAGGACACATGGTGTGCTCTCTCACCCATGCCTTGTATCTCTGCTGTTTTCCTCTTAAACTCTTAGGGCCCCCACGAGACTTGCTGTCAGAGGATCAGCAAGCAGCGGCTTACCCCTTGAACCTGTATGCAAGGGTCTCTTTGTCTCTGACTTCCCAGAGAGCTCACTTCTGTCACTATGACTTTTATTTCTCAGTGAGCCAAAGCAGCCCACATAGGTTCTCCTGCTGCTGCTTCCACCTTAAGCCCTTCCTTTGTTTCACTGTCCCTTGCTTTAATAAACATACCTTCAAAACCACCTGGACTCGTGTTGTGAAATCTTTCCTACACAAAGTGAAGAACTGCCAGTAGAAGGTCCAAGGTGGAGCTCCTCCTGGCCCAGACCCTGTCCACTAAGACCTCTGCATTTATTTTTTTGCATCATTTTGTGATTTTTAAATCAATATGTATTTTTATAATAAGAAGGAGATAGTTTTTAAAAAGTATTTTATAATTACCTTAGCCTCTAAAGTGCTATCAATCCTGTTCCCCCAACCATCATGCTAAAGGATGTCTACGAAGTATTTAAATACGATACATATCTGCTATTGAGGACATGGAAACAACCGCTAGGAAGATCATGGGATAGTTCCTGTGTTAATAATGGATCCCATTGTGACATGAACTCTCCGTTGCCCCCAGTATATTGAATTTTAAGGAAGCTATCTGAGACTTGGAGGGGCTAACCAAGTTCCAAGTGAATTTTAGGCAAGGACTCTACCACTGAGAAACATACTTGTAACTGTGCTTAAGGGCAAACTGGGGCTTAAGGATTTCTGGGGCAACCTACAAACTCCTGAGCAGGATGGAAACCAAGGGAGAGGAAGCCAGCTTCCCAAAGTGAGGTTCCGTGGGTGACTGTGACCTGTCGAGGTGGTGAAGTAATGGGATCTGAACAGGTCTACCAGCTCACCAATGAGAGCTTCATTTGCAATTTGGTCACTTAAGCAAGAGGCTTTATAAGCTATAAAGTGTTATACACATTACTTATTCTGGTTGTCAAATCTAGATGGTCAATGGGTGTTCATTTAAGTCTTTAAATTTTTCTATGTACTTAAACATTTTATAATTTTTAAAAATTGAATCTCTCCCACTTTAAGGACTCTGCTAGGAGGCTGGCTTTGGGCACCCAGTCCTTGAACGAAAAAGTTTACAGGTCAGTGAAGGAGGACAACACAGTCACCCAGAAGGTGACTGGTCTCCCTTTGCCACACCTTTTCAAGTTCGGTTTATATAATCTGTCCACACTCACCTAGCCATTCTGTCACTGCTGGCAGAGCTGACCCCTCTTGCCCGGTGCTTCTGTCATTCCCGCTCACCACCTCATACTGAAACTGTTAATGAGTTTGGAAGCTTCACGAAGTATTGGGGAAATATGGGACTCCAAGGTCTAGGACCTGTGTGACCTGGCAAGTTACTGGACTTACCT